CGCGTTATTGTAAAATCTTTTTTTTACATGTTTGACTTTTATTTTGAATTTTTTTTTACATAGAGTTGGTTTCTCTACTTCAGGCAACCGATTGGCGAAAACAAAACCATAGAATATTATTATTTCTCTCAAAATATCAATTTGAATTTAGGTGAGCGTCAATATACTAGTTTTCATATTAATATGCATCGAAAGGGATCATTTTAAGGTGGCAATCATGCAAAAATTTAAACAATCCTAACTTCAAATTTCCCCACAAATTATTTTTTCAAATAAATGTGTGCCCCAGGTAGCAAAAAATAATTAAAATTAACAACGTAATGCAAACAAAGATTTTTGTCATTATTATTGTGCTTAAATTTGTTCTGAATGACATATTAATGACACTTTTTGTGTAAATTCGCCTTTAAGTTAAAGATTTATTTAGACTACTACAACCGACTTGATGCACATAAATATAAAAAGAGTATACCTATCGCTCCCCTACACATTTTACATAAAAAAATCTACTCGTGAAAAAAAATGTAACAAATGTCCAATATAAAAAAAAAACTCTTAAATTTAGAATACTTACTTAAAAATAATAAAAATCTGAAGAAACACTGTGTAAAAATTAAGAGTTTAAACATAAATACAAAATACGTTAATTAAAAACATCAATAATCATAACATGAATGTGTTATCCAACAATTATCAGTGTCAAAAGCGGGTATAAATGGCTTTAAAAGGAAAAACTAAGAAATTACATCTACATTACGTATCGGGATTTGAGGTGAGCAATATACCTAGTTCACAAATTTCTTCAATTAAAGCCATACAACGAAAATTCTTTCTAATTTTGACACTGGCAATTGTTTATTAAATCGAACACACTATACATACATAAATATCTGTCACGAAAGTTGTGACGAAAATTTTCATATTTTCTACATGGGTATGTTGTAAGTTCATTACCTTTAAGAAATATGTCAGATTAATTATAGTTGTTAAAATATAACTTGATCAAATCTCTGCCCTTACGCGGTTGCCAAAAAAGCTGTAATGAAAGTATTTATGTAACTAGAGAAATAAAAAATATAAAAACAAAACACAAAATAGTAACAAAAGAGTGTTCAAACCAGTTTCCTAAAATATTCCCTTTTTTATTTAAAAATAGATTAGCGGATTATTTTGTTTTTTTTTTCAGAATTAGAATCGTTATAACTTGATTCTCTTCAGGTTGTTTGTTCTCAATAATTTTTAAAACACTCTGTATAACTTGATTTTTATAAAATTTAATAATTTATTGAAAAACTAATTGCTTCTATGACGCCAAATGAGCACATAATTCCAAGTATTTTGTTTATAAAATGAGCGGTTGTCCAGCACATCAAAATCACTTACTAATCTAATTAAGTAATTACACGGTAAACTGGGCACTAAGCGATTACCATCCATAACATTTTATATTGAAAATCGACAAAAGAGCAACTATTAAATAATAATTGTCAAACATATTACTGAAAACTAAAAACTCGTTCAAGCGAGACTACATAAGAATTACGTGGCAGTTACATCACACGGTAGCACTACTTAACATTGACCTGTATGTTCAGTTCATGTTCATTCTACAAGCATCATTAAAAACTTTTACTTTTTTTCAAGCCAATTCCATTAATAGCTTCCAACAAATTCATGCATGATTTTATAATAACAAAAAAAGTTTTTGATGTGATTTCCTTCATTATAAACAACAATAAAACAGCACTGATAAATTACTAACGACAAAGCTACTATAGGCAAATGACAAGAAGCAAATTGATTCGTGTGATTTATAAAATGTGAATATAATTATTTTAAATTACTACATATTTAACCAGTCACTAAAAACAGATAATAACATATAATTTCTTTTTATAAATCTAGGTAGTAAAAAAGATAAAATCCCCCCAAACCAAAGTCGATTTTTATATAGTTTTAGACACAACGTTATACGAATCTAAAGCTCAAGGCAAAAGCTGTTTTGATTCTTTGATGCCGCAGATTTTCATTGTTTAGATAATAACAATCAACAGAATTTGGTTTTTAATAAGATGATTAATAATGGCTAAAATCATATTCCTTAAAAACCTATCATTGGTCGACCAATTAAAACATTACAAAGAATTAGGATATAATAAACCAAATGGAATTATCAATTTAGGTAATCAAATTTCAAAACAAATAAAAAAACCCAGAAAAAATAGCTAATTAGTAATTTACAGTTTATTGATAAAATGCAAATTCTTAATAAGCTAGGTCAAAGTGTCTTACTCCAATTAAAATCTATTAGAATTTCAACATTAATGAAATTTAAATTTAGAACATTACCATCGATTAAGAATTGTAATTAATAATATTACACATTAGCAGGATTATGTCATATAATAACAAGGTTGGCGGAAATTTTCAGTTCATTATAACGCACGTTTACCATCTTCCCATTAAGTCACCTTGAAAATTACAAAAACTATCCATTTACGTATGTGTTAACCGCCACATACTTAAGTGTATGTTGTAAACTTATGCAGTTAACGATCTGATTGCTTCTGTTAGAAGAAAAATAATTCAAACAATGCCAAAAGTCTACAAAAGATTAAAAAACAATGTGATGCAATTATAACTTTTAATTAAATATGACATACGTTAACACCAAGCACACATTCTCCACACTCCATTTCTGTTAGGCGCAAATTATTCAAATAAAAAATACTTGGTATTCCAACCGACTGGTTCGTGAATATATGCTTGCAGCTTCAAGGGAATAAAAAAACTACGAATGCGGACCCTAATCTCATCTAAAAAGGAACTTCGATCTAAATTAGTGCACAACATTGAACTTTAGTTTATATCCCTCTACCACAAAATATACGAGTTTTGGAATTCAAATACGAATTTATCTTACTGGATCCGAGTGTATATGCTTTATATTCGATTTTATGTTAATGCACTTATGTCGATAAGACCTGCAGCACTAAGCCTGGGTATAAATGTGCTAGAAAATGTTGATGCAGCAGTTCTTGTGCAATCCCTTACTTTACAGTACAATTTTCCGGAGTTACTGAAGTCGTACAGAACACTACACAACACGAGTCATTCATGATTTGCACTTTCTCAATTTTGTCACATCAGTGTTCTACGTTAATCTTGTGGGATTTCAGAAAATAATATAATCTTCTGTAAAAAAAGTTTTTGAAAAACAATATAAAGATTTTGTTCACCAGTATGTTTTTTTTTGCTTACATATAAAAGTTTATAGAACAACAAATTAAACTCATAAGTTATACGCACGCTTCTAAGTAATTAATATACAAAGACTTTCTACTACAATTTGCCAAGACACTCTTATCTTTACATCACCCCTTTTAAATTAAATTTTCAGAAACTCACCGTTGAAATATATAATTAACTTTGCTTTCTGCATGACAAACTACTCATTATTGTGTATTTGTTTGTTTATCTGATATTTCTATTAAAATAAGATAGATCTCACAAAACTAAGACAATTAAAATCATACAATATCAAAAAAAATATATAAAAAAAATCCTCTAGAAAGCTATGACTTTTTTCTATTCAATTCGTCACAGCCAAAAGGCCGTTTACACGACTTTTTAAACATAACAAGGTCAAAACGAGATTTTGACAAAATAAAGAATGTTTATAATAAAATAAGAAATATACATAGAAAAACCCACTAAGATTTAGTTTTGGCATACCAGTAGATGTGAATTTCATTTCTTCAACAAACAAAATACATAGTATAATAAAAAAACAAATGTTACTAACACTCACTCACATTGCGATTCGAGTATTACAATACACGAGTATCACAATGAGAGGTTGTAAGACGTGTTTTTTTTATACCTACTATTTTATTCTATTGAGCGCTTTTTAAATTGAATTTATAATTATTTATTATATTTGAATGTTGAAATTTTTGGCATTTGACGGTACCCAAACTGCTTAAAAATGGCTCAAATTGCATTAGTTTCGATGAAATACAACAATTTCTCACTTAAAAACGACAGTATGCAGCCAGTGATCGCAAAAGTATTGGATAAAATGTTGCCAAAAAACAGTGTGTTGCATTTTATGCAACTGTTTTCAGTTACACAAAATGCTCATTATGACCCCGAAATAGAAAAATAAATCTAACATATTGTACAGTGACAGACAGTAAATTTCGTCCGCTCAATTTCCATGACAGACTAAAAGTGTAAATTAGTCTTTAGGTTTTTCTAACCTTGTTTTCTGTTGACCTAATGCTCGATGATCCTTGCTATTTTTTACCTGTGCTTTCTTACACTGCTTGAGTAACAGTACCAATCTTTCAGGTTGGAAATCTGGTCCAAAATGAATTTAATAAAATTTGCAACACGTATTTAAATGTCACTTATCGTGACAATAAAGCACAGACTCCAGTAAATCTTTGTTAATTCACGGAAAAAAGGCGGGCGAAATTCACTGTCTATCACAGTGGTATGGTCGATAGACAAATAAAACTCGTACACTTAAAATTTTGTCAATGTAGGTATATCAGATTACTGAATTGTCAAAATTTGTCAGTACTTAATTAATTGACACAAAGGAATTAGTTAGTGACTTCTATCTCGTCGACTGCAAATGATCATCGACAGCACGGCCTCCTTGATAAAAAGATAGACTTTCGTCTATCCGGCCTTGCGCGTGGGAAAAATGTTTGTGTTTGACATATGACATAAAACGGGAGTAGGGCAGAGTCATCTTCTGGTCTTAATTAAAATATTTAGATGTGTAATGTTGGTTGCATATCTTCATAAAAAATTTCAAATATTTAAAATTTTTAGAGTGCTTAAATTTTGACATTCAAAAATCATTTATCGACAATATTCCTTATTGTTGTCTTTAGTTTCATTAACGAATTAAACGTTGACTTGAATGAAGAATGCCTTCAAGACGAAAATGCTGTATTTGCAAATCGCAAGATTTAAAAGGAAAATCGTTTCATTATTTTCCTGCTAATATAAATTTSGCCTCTGAGTGGAAAGCAGCAATTGCACCTTATATTGGTATAAATACAAATTTAATTATGCCAAATCACAATAAATGTTTTTAGACCATAAAAATTTATCCGAATATTCAACTGTTTGCAGTGCACATTTTAAACCGGAAGATTTTTTGACCAATGCAAAGAAACGCATGCTTTTACCAGGAGCTGTTCCTTCTAGATTTGTAAATAGTGTTGTGTTATAGTTTCAATTTGTATATTTGTATAACACTTCTAGTTTCAAACCACGACGGAAATTGGTGAATTACCACAGCCAACATTAAGTACTAACTCTAACAACGTTTTTGACTTTGGGACTCAAACACTTTATGTACATCGGCTCAATTAAAAGACTTAGAGTATACAAACCGGTGTCTAAAACAGAAATTGAGACGACTTCAGCTGTGTTACAATAAACTCAAAGAAACAGTAGATATAGACAAGGAAGAGAATCGTGCAGAATGGAAACAATTAGAGCAAATAAAAAAGGACGCTGAAAAATCAAATTCCAAAGCTATTTTTATTCTGGACCAAATTAAAAATTATAATAAAAAAAAACCTATATGGTCTGAAATGACAATACGCCAATGCATCGCAT